AGTGCTTTCTTACAGTGTCATTGACACCTGGCAGGTGGCCTGGTCCTTCCTGGATTGCAAAAGAACTGCAAAAGGACTGCAGGAGGGAAAAGGACAGACACACAATAGAAGCAAGGATGCCTAGCTTTTATGCTGATGTTAGTAAATTCACCAAATAAGGAGTCAGTTACCCTCAGGAAAAGCAGCTGTTATAGAAGGGGGAATCTTGTATGCATGCAAAAGTTTTATTATTCTTAATCAGGGTTATTTTTGCTGCTGCTATCACCTGTAGACATCAGATTCTTCAGTTTTGAACAGACTCTCACCAGCAATTCTCCTGGGAGCTTCTAGGCTATAGCCTTGTCCTGTGGGCTACATCACTGATCATCCTTTTTATGGAAGCCTCCAGCTTCTTGGCCTGAGAAACTGCACATTTCCCCAGCTCTCCTGTCTGCAGATAGACAGTGTGGGCATATCTGCCAAGCCATTTCAATTTAATAAATCTCTTTATAACTGTAAAAGTTCTTTTGGCAGTCTGCATGCCAGCAACATTTTCACTAAGCATGAGAGCTTACCAGTATATACATATACACGTATATATGTATATATATACACATATATATGTGTATACATATATATAAGTTGAAAACACTTCAAAATAAACACAGAGCAATATCTTCTGAAAACATGTAACAACATTCCAACTTTAAAAAAAATTTATTATTATATCTTTAAGTAGTTATACAAAGAAGATCCCATTCTACAAAACAGTCACCTAATGCTCCTAACCCATCCCTTCTCTCACTTTTTTTTTTAAATTGTGAAAATACCATGCAGAGGGGTTACAATTACATGGGCAAGGTAATGAGTACATTTCTTATCAAGCATTGTTGCCTCCTCCTTTGTTTCCCCTTCCCATCCCTTCCCATCTTCTCTCCTTTTTCCCCCTCCCCCCCACTCCTGGCCAAAGTTGTAAAGTTAGTTTTTTGACATAAAGTCTTGTAAATCTCATTATTGCAATGGGTCCCTATTTAAACAATTTGTTTTTTCCCTTCCCCTCCACAAAGTATACCAACATCAAATACAGTGAAAACAGGATCTCACTTTTTTTAAAATTGAGATTAGGTGATTACATAAATTTCACAGTATTGTGGAATAGTGATACTTAGTTAAAGTCACAAACACATTTTAACCATCACAAGGCAAATTGTCATTATCATGGTCTATACAGTTTGTGAATTCTATGAGCTTTGACAATACAAATTATTTCTTCCACATCAGGTGATTTTTACATTTCTTTCCTTTTGCTTAGTGTAGGCTGTTCCCTCTTTCCCTCTCATTCCTCCTTTCCCATCGCTGTCCTTGGGTTGCTTAGTTTTTTTTCTTCTATGTCCAGTGCAGCTGATGGGCCCCTTTGTTGTATGTTGTTCCATTTCCCACTTACTCTGTTCCTCCTTCTGGCTTCCTTCCATTGCGTGCATATATCTACCCAATATATGGTCAAGAACATGGAGTCATTTAGTAATAATGCGACAAAGTGGGTGGCTGTCCTTTGTTTCTTGGGTCCTGTTTACTTTGTCATATCTTCTTGCATTTTGGCTTTAGCATCCACACATCAGGAAGACCATGTGCCGTTTGTCTCTTTGTTCTTGGCTTACTTGGCTCAAAATAATCTGCTCTAGTTTCCAAATCTTGGCTATTGTGAACAGTGCTGCAATGAACATGGAGGTACATGTGTCCTTGTATACTGGTTCCTGTTGCTAGGGTAGATGCCTAGGAGTGGTATGGCTGGGTCATAGGGGAGGTCTATATTTAGCTTTCTGAGGTACCTCCAGACTGCTTTCCAAAGTGGATGTATTAGTGTACATTCCTACCAGCAATGCAGTAGGGTTCCTTTTTCTTCACATCCCCCCCAGCATTTGTCTTTGGTTGAATTTAGGATGTGGATCATTCTTACTAGGGTAAGGTGGTAGGTATCTTAGTGTAGGTTTTATTTGCATTTCCTTTACAGCTAGGGATGATGAACATTTCCTCATGTGTTTCTTTGCCATTTTTGTTTCTACTTCTGAGAAGTCTCTCTTTAGCTCCCTTGCCCATTTAATGATTGGTTTGTTAGATTTGTGAAGGGTTAGTTTCTTGAGTTCCCTGTATATAATGGATTTTACACCCTTGTCTGATATTTTGCTGGTAAATATTTTTTTCCCAATTAGTTGGCTTTCTTTCTAGTTTGGTTGCTATTTCTTTTATCTGTGCAGAAACTTTTTATTTTAAGGTAGGCCCATTTGTCCAGTCTCTCTCTAATTAGTTGTGACCCTGGGATTGTGTTCAGGAAGTTCCTGCCTATGCCTATAAGTTCAAGAGTCTCTTCTACTCTGTCCTGCAGTAGTTTCAGAGATTCAGGTTTGATGTTAAGGTCTTTAATCCATTTTGAGTTGATGTTAGTGCATGGTGACATGCTAGGGTCCACTTTCAGTTTTCTGCATGTGGCATTCCAAAATTTTTGTAGATCCCAAATATATTATTTAAAAACCCAGCATATCTGCCTTCTTTTTTTTTTTCTTTGCTGGTCCTGTGGCTTGAACTCAGGACCTGAGCTCTGTTTCTGAGCCTTTCTGTGCTCAAGGCTACCACTCTACCACTTGAGCCACAGTGCCACTTCTGGCTATATCTGCATTCTTTACAAAAATAAACTTGTTTCAGTGTAGGAGTCTCACCTTATATGTCTACTCCTACATTTCTCCATCTTTTTCTTTCTCAGCAGTGTACTCTTCTCTACAATGGAACAGCCAAATGGGAAGTGCTTCTGGCTATGCTTACAGATTGGCACTGTGACCTCTGCCATTTCTTTCTTTTTTTTTTTTTTTTTTTTGTCAGTTGTGGGTCCTGAACACTGGGCCTGGGTGCCGACCCTCAGCTCTTCAGATCAAGGCTAGTGCTCTACCACTTGAGCCACAGTGCCACTTCCTGGTTTCTGGAGGTTTATTGGAGGTTGAAGTCTCACAAACTTTCCTGTGGGGGGCTGGCTTTGAACTGTGATCCTCAGATCTCATACTCCTTAGTAGTTAGCATTATAGGCATGAGCCACTGGCACTCTGCTCAGTTTTTTTATTTTTTAAACACTGCACACTGCTAGAGATTTGCTTTTTAAATCATTCAGCTCTCTGAGTAAGGCTTCACGCAGTCTACCCTTCTTGACTACTATTTTCTTCCTGTTCTCTCACCAGACATCTGCTTGCAGTGTATCACTAAGGACAATCATGGCTCCTTTGTAAGGCAATCAGGGGTCTTCCTCTGTGCCCTCACAGCTCCAACCACATCCAACATTTTTTACTGTCATTTATAGTACCTTCCTCATTGCTTATGTGGTGCTGAGGAATCGAACCCAGGGCCTCGGGCATGCAAGGCAAGTGTTCTACCACTGAGCCACCTTCCCAGCCCAGTACCTTCCTCATTGGATTCAGATTACTTACTTTGATGACAGTCAAGCTCCTTCCTCAGAATAAGAGTAAAAAAATGGGTTGCTGGTGGCTCAAGTCTCTAATTCTAGCTACTCAGGAGACTGGAATCTGAACGTCGTTTCAAAGCCAGCCTAGGAAGGAAAAATCTCTGGGATTCTCATCTCAATTAACCACCAAAGAGCTGGAAGTGGAACTGTGGTTCAAGTGGTAGAGCCCTAACCTTGAGTGAAAAACTTAGAGAACAGTTCCTTGGTCCAGAGTTCCAGCCCCAGCAGTGGTGACTTTGCATGAGCGCACGCACACACACACATACACACACACACACACACACACACACACATACACACACACACACACACACACACACACACACACACACACACACAAACACACAGGAGTAAAATCTGAGCCCCTCTGTTTCAGACTCCTCTGCATCTGCTTCCTTCTTATTCAATCATTGTATCCTTCCTCTCTGCTCTGTTCTGTTGCCTCCAGCATACATCACCAGCTGTTATACCCCATTCACTAATTCATCATGTTTACTCCATTACCCTTGCATCACATGAGCAGGAAAACTCCACAGCAGGAGTTTTGTAGTGCTCACAGGGGTATCAAGTAGCCAGGGCGTGGACACCAAAACCACTCTTTCTTTAATGAATGAAATCCAACCTCTGAGCTCCTTAAAGGATTTGGTTTTATTTGTAAACCCAGGATATACCTGGCACACACAGCCTATTTAATAAGAATTAGTTTCACCAACTTTCCATTGGAGAAATAGGGTGATTCTGGAATCATTTTAATGGATAGAAATCAAGGAAAGACCCAATTATTTAATCACCTGTCAGCTTTCTCCATCATTTCCCCATTTCATATTCATTACCAATAATAACACGGTTTTGAAGTTCCACTGAGGGACTACACACGCGTACAGTACAGTGGAGGTGGACTGTCACACAAATGTTTGCAAAGTTATAGACACTTAGATATTTATTGCACTCACTACACGTTTATTTGCATACAACACTAAAGTAACATGGCCAGTGCCAAGCACTTGAGAAGCATTTTCCTGGGGGGGTGGAGGTGGGGGTGGAGGATATGGAGGGGTGGGGTAGGTAGTGAGACTTTAAGGTGGCTTTATGGAATTGCATGTTAGAACCTACTGCAGTAGGTTCAGAAGGAGGCTGATCCTGCCAGAGCGGAGAAATAGAGAGGAGGACACCTACTGCGTCTGCCATCCTAAGGCTGTTTCTAGCTCCAAGATCCTAAGAAGGGGTAGGAAGGACAAGGAACGATGAAAGGGAAGGAACAAGGGCGGGGGGAGCGGAGAAAAGGTCCCAAGTAACTTTTTGACATCCTGCGCTTCATGCTTGGATTACCACGTTAACCTACTGAAGACGATTTTAGCACCCCGGGGGACGCCACACCGGCTCCTTTAAGAGGCAGTCCCGGCCTTCCCATGTGCCAGGCTGGCGGAGCCCCAGGCAGCCTCCAGGTGGGTGTGCGCTGGACCGAGGCCACCTTAGCAGGGGCGGAGGATGGCGCGGGGCCCGCGCTTTTCCTCACCGCCCTGGCAGTGGCGCGGCGGGCATGGCAGAGATGAGGCCGGGAACAGCGACGGGGCAGCAGCTCAACGCGCTGCCCGATCACTCGCCGCTGCTGCAGCCGGGCTTGCAGGAGCTGCGGCGCCGGGCCCGGGAGGCGGGAGCCCCGTTCTCGGATTTGCCCTTCCCCGACGCCTTCCTGCTGCGGTTCCTACGCGCTCGGGATTTCGATCTGGACTTGGCCTGGCGGGTAAGCACGCAGCGTCCCGCGGCTGTGCTGTGCGGGACACCCGCCCGCGCCCCCGGGCTAGGCAGACAACCCCGCGCGCACTGCCCACCGCCTGCGCGGGTGCGCAGAAATCCCGAGCTGGTCCTGCCCGTTTCTCAGGGATAGGAAAGTCTCCTAAGCCTGCGGGTATAGAATTTTTTGGGGGGAAATGCCTTCCCCTTCCAAGACAGACTGCTGTCACAGTGAACAAAGCCACCGTGGAAAAGCTGGAAGCTCAGACCTGCCCCATCGGGGCAGTTAACTCTCAATGTGGCAGGGAGGGGGGACAGGAGGTGGGAGGGAAAATTGTGGGTAAACTGAACCTCCGACACCATACCATGGTCTTATGAATAGTAATACTTCAATGTGAAGTAGTACAAGCAGCTCAGGATATTTGAATCCTGGGAATTCAAGTATCAAACACACCCGTTTTCCAGGTGTGCCCCAGCTGGTTGGGAGAAAAGTGGGGGGAGGGGGGGATGAAAAATTGAAAGTCAGATGCAACCTTGAGTTTGTCACTTGGGATTCAGCGTCCTTATTTGGTAAATAACGGTGAGGACGCTTACCTTTATTGATTAGTTTTGAGAACTGAACATTGACCTTTTAACGGTTAGAGCAAGGTGTGCCCAGCACAGTGTCTGACCATAGTGTAAACATTGTACCAGATGTAGCCCATCCGCCAAGAGAAAATACCAGTGGGGCTCAGGATCAGTTTTGTTAAATGAATTTTTAAATTACAAAAACAATGCATATGCTATAAAAATAATACAATAAGCCAGGCTCTGGTGGCTCAAGCCTGTAATCCTAGCTACTCAGGAGGCTAAGATCTGAGGATCACGGTTCAAAGCCAGCCCAGGCAGGAAAGTCCATGAGACTCTGATCTACAATAAAAACCATCAGAAAAGTGGAAGTGGTGCTGTGGCTCAAGTGGTAGAGCGCTTGCCTTGAGCTGAAGAGCTCAGGGACAGCGCCCAGGCCCAGAGTTCAAGCCCCATAACTAACTCAACAACAACAAAAAAATACAATAATACAAAATAGTAAAAAGTGAAAACTTTTTTTTCAACATCATTTGAAATCAGCATACATTCGCTGCATGTACAAACAGATTAGATTATACAAAGTAAAATTTAAAAAGTAATTTCTACTGGAAAAACTTCCCATCCCTAACCTTAGATGACTAGTCAAACCTGTTCTATCTTCACACCAGCAGGTACCTGTGGTTTTCATATTTTGCTTTTCTTATAAGATTTGAAGTGGAGATAATCTCTTATGAAAATGTGTCCATATACATCTTAATTTTATTGGGCAGCTATTATTCCATAAAATAAGTACATTAAAGGTATCTAACTGATCTGTTTGTTGGAAATAGGGGTTACTTCCTCTTGTTGCTGGTAGTATCTGTATGATATTTATGCCTTCAATTATTTTAAGACATCTATTCTTTGTCCAACAGTGCAGACAATGCAGTAAACAAGGCAACTGTTGTTTCTTCCATCAGAGGCTGAATTCTAGAATGTCTTCATACATTATTTTGTCATATAAATATGGACTTTTTCTATTGGTTGTGGGGCTTGAACTCTGGGCCTTGGAACTGTCCCTCAGCTCTTCAGCTCAAGGCAAGTGCTCTAGCACTTGAGCCATAGCGCCACTTCTGGTTTTCTGATGGTTAATCAGAGATAAGAGTTTCTTAGACATTCCTTGCCAGGGCTGGCATTGAACCGTGATCCTCAGATCTCAGCCTTCTGAGTAGCTAGGATTACAGGCTTGCCCCACCAGTGCCCAGCTATAAGTTCAACTTGCAGAACTACCAGGCATAGTTCTTTTTTTTAAATTTTTTTTTAATTTTAATTTTAATTTTTTGTGAACATACTGTACAGAGGGGTTACAATTACATGGGCAGGATAATGCGTACATTTCTTATCAAGCATTGCAGCCTCCTCCTTTGTTAACCCTTCACATCCCTTCCCAGCAACCCCCTCCCCCCCCACCCAATCCTCCCCCCCACCCAATCCTCCCCCCCCCCCAGCTGTAAAGCTCATTTTCCACATGACAACTTGTACTTCTCATTGTTGCAACAGGTTCACCTGTATCCTTAAACGACTTGTTTTTCCCCATCTCCTCCACAAATTATACCGACATCAAATATAGTGAAAGCAGGAGTTATACTGTGGGGGAGGGACATGCAAAGCAACAAAGAAATAATCTTATAAATGTGTTAGAAACAAATGCATGAAAGAAAAAAACATTAAAATACATATCTAAGGGTTCATTTTCCTAACATCACATTATCTGACCGTTTCTGCTTGACTCATACCTATACTAGATATTGCAAATAAGGGAAACCATGGGACCTATGTTTCTTTGGGCCTGGCTTACTTCACTTAATATAATTTTTTCCAAGTCTTTCCATTTCCTAACAAATGGGGCAATGTCATTCTTTCTGATGGAGGCATAGAATTCCATTGTGTATATATACCACATTTTCTTGATCCATTCATCTACTGAGGGGCATCTGGGTTGGTTCCATATCTTAGCTATGGTAAATAATGCTGCAATAAACATAGTTGTGCTGGTAGCTTTAGTGTGGTCTTGTTTGTAAGCATTTGGGTAAATGCCCAAAAGTGGGATTGCTGGGTCATAGGGGAGCTCTATGTGGAGTCTTTTGAGGAACCTCCATACTGCTTTCCAAAGTGGTTGAACAAGTTTCCACTCCCACCAACAATGAAGTAAGGTTCCCTTCTGTCCACATCCCCTCCAGCATCTGTTGTTGTTAGAGTTCTTAATTTTTGCCATTCTAACTGGAGTGAGGTGGTATCTCAATGTTGTTTTGATTTGCATTTCTTTTATGGCTAGGGATGTTGAGCATTTCTTCATGTGCCTATTGGCCATCCTTCTTTCTTCTTCAGAGAAGTTTCTCTTTAAGTCTTTAGCCCACTTATTTATTGGGCAGTTGTTTCTTTGAGGATTTGTTGTTGGGGGATTTAATTTTTTGAAACCGGGCATAGTTCTGAGAAAGACAGGGAACTGTCTTCCATAGAGTCCACATTCCTCTTTTAACTGACAAAAATGTGTATTACAGAATGTCTTCTTCCTATTAGAAAATACAATTTTTGTGAGAAGGAGAAGGAATAAATTCACCTTAAAGAACTCAATGAATATATCAGAACCTACAATGTGCTGGTTGTTCTGGCTGCCTTTGGAAATGGCTATTTAGGTCACCAATTATTTCTCTGTTGGCAAATTGACTGACTTTTTTTTCTTTCTTACTTTTCAGTTGCATTTAACTCATAGCAACAGTGTCACTTTTTAAAGTTAAGAAGAATTAATTAGATGAGGAGACAAAACAGAGAGGCATACAAAATAAAGAGGAGATAAAGTGAGTGTGTGTGTGTGAGAGAGAGAGGAGACACAGAGACAGAGAGAGACAGAGAGACAGTAAGACAACCCAGTCCACCTCTTTGCACTCCACAGCTCTGCTTCTCTCATTTTCCAGTTTCACCCCCATAACATTTGTAATTTCTCCTCTAGATGATTATTACCACTGTTTTTGTGAATGCAGAGACAATCTTTATTGTAATAACTTTCAAATAGAAAATGTCTTTTCCTTTTTTTCTGAGTTGTGTCTCCACATTATTAATGGATCTCTTTAAACTCAAAAGCATATAACTATTTTAAGAAAATGAGAAGGCCAACATTTAGAGGAAGAAAAAGTAACATATAATAATGTCATGTCGATTAAATATTTATGATGGTTCTTCCAGATACCACCTTCAAGTCCTCTAGAAAGCAGGATTCTTTTTTTTTCTTCTTTTTCCCAGGTTGTTTTGTGTGTGTGTGTGTGTGTGTGTGTGTGTGTGTGAAAATACCTTACAGAGGGGTTATAATTACATGGGCAAGGTAATGAGTACATTTCTTTTTTTTTTTTTTGGTCGGTCGTGGGGCTTGAACTCTGGGCCTGGGCGCTGTCCCTCAGCTCTTCAGCTCAAGACGAGCGCTCTACCACTTGAGCTACAGCGCCACTTCCAGTTTTCTGGTAGTTTATTGGAGATAGGAGTCTCACAGTCTCTCCTGCCCGGGCTGGCTTTGAACCGCAATCCTCAGATCTCAGCCTCCTGAGTAGCTAGGATTACAGGCGTGAGCCACCAGCACCCGGCTTATGAGTACATTTCTTATCAAGCATTGTAGCCTCCTCTTTTGTTTCCCATCCTTTCTCATCCTCCCCCTCCCCCCTACTCAATCCTCCCCCCCACCAAAGTTGTAAAGCTCATTTTTGACATAACGACTTGCACATCTCGTTGTTGCAATGGGTCCATCTGTATCCCTATTTAAACGATTTTTTCCCTTCCCCCCCACAAATTATACCAACATCAAATACAGTGAAAACAGGGGTTATACCGAGGGGGAGGGACATACAAAGCAACAAAGAAATCATCTTATAAATATGTTAGAAACAATCGCAAGAAAGAAAAAACATTTGAATAATTATCTTGGGGTTCATTTCACCTTACATCAACTTATCTGACCGTTTCTGCTTGTCTCAGACATACACTAGTTATTGCAAATAAGGGATACCATGGGACCTATGTTTCTTTGGGCCTGGCTTACTTCACTTCATATAATTTTTTCCAAGTCTTTCCATTTCCTAACAAATGGGCAATGTCATTCTTTCTGATGGAGGCATAGATTTCCATTGTATAGATACCACATTTTCTTGATCCATTCATCTACTGAGGGGCATCTGGGTTGATTCCCTGTCTTAGCTATGGTAAATAATGCTGCAGTAAACATAGTTGTGCTGGTAGCTTTAGTACCGTCTTGTTTGTGATCATTTGGGTAAATGCCCAAAAGTGGGATTGCTGGGTCATAGGGGAGCTCTATGTGGAGTCTTTTGAGGAACCTCCATACTGCTTTCCAAAGTGATTGAACAAGCTTACACTCCCACCAACAATGCAGTAAGGTTCCCTTCTGTCCACATCTCTGCCAGCATCTGTTGTTATTAGAGTTCTTGATTATGGCCATTCTAACTGGGGTGAGATGGTATTTAAATGTTGTTTTGATTTGCATTTCTTTTATGGTTAGGGAGATTGAGCATTTCTTAATGGGTCTATTGGCCATCCTTCTTTCTTCTTCAGAGAAGTTTCTCTTTAAGTCTTTAGCCCACTTACTTATTGGGCAGTTGTTTCTTTGAGGATTTGTTATTGGGGATTTAATTTTTTGAGTTCCAGGTATGTTTTAGATATGAGACCCTTGTCCGTTGTATGGTTAGTGAAGATCTTCTCCCAATCCATGGGCTTTCTATTGATTTTACTAGCTATGTCTTTTGCCATGCAGAAGTTCTGCAATTTCATGCAATCCCATTTGTCCAGCCTTTCTTTGATTTGTTGTGTTTCCAGGTCTCTATTAAGAAAATTTTGGCCTGTGCCAAGGAGACCTAAGGTTTCTCCTATTCCATCCCGTAATGTCCGGAAACAGGATTCTTTTATTCTTGTATCTGTTATTCAGGTATACTGCTCCTTTGGTTCTCCTAATTAATTTGATTAATTCCTATTCTAGTATGTTTCAAAACATATTTTAGTATGTTTCAAAGTAGTACAAAAGGTAGTGTTCTAGTTATTTCTTGCTAAGTAACTTACTGGTTGAAAAACACAACTTTGTAGTTGTTTGTGTTCTCTAGTTCGGCAGGGCTCAGTGCAAATGGTGTCTTTTTTTATCCAGGGTGGCATCAGATGAGAAGTTGGCTGAAGTCATGTGATCAGGATAATATCTTCTCCTTCAGAGAAGGCATCCATGTCTCTCCACATGGCCAGTTACTATTTAGGAATCTTACAGGTGTTTGGATCCTCAAGTGAAAGTTCTGAATAACCAGATTATTTATTTATTTATATTTTTTATTTGCTTGTTTTGTGTGTGCCTGTCTTGGGACTTGAACTCAGAGCCTGGTGCTGTCCCAGCGCTCTTTTCTTCAAGGCTAGCACTTTGCTTCTTGAGCCATATCACCATTTCTGCATTTTGGGTGGTTAATTGGAGATAAGAGTCTCACAGGGTATCCTGCCTGAGCTGGCTTTTAATTGAGATCCTCATATCTCAGCTTCCTAAGTAGCTAAGGTACAGATGTGAGATGCTGGCCCAGTTCAGATTTTTTTCCCTTAAAAGTCTAGTACAATGTCATACGTTTCTATTAATCAGAGCAAATTGTAAGGCAAGTATACCTTTAAGTGGATGGTATAAAATAGATCTCACCTCTTTCTGAAAGGAATGCATGTGAACCTTAGGAGGGGCGGACTTGGTGGTGGTTGTCTGTAAAGACTATCTAGTATAGGTGTACAGTGAAAATTACTCAAACTTGAATTTTGGGTTTATAGCTATACAGCTATCCAAAATCCTGACAACGGCTGGTAAGGTTCATATACAATGTCAGGGCTTTCCTATTGCTCTGCGTGTGTGTGTGTGTGTGTGTGTGTGTGTGTGTGTGTGTGTGTTTGTGTGTGTGTGTGTGTAGTGCTTAAAAACTTAAAAAAAAACATACTGGTATTTGGATTCAGAGCCTCACACTTGATAGACTGGCAAGGTTCCGCTGAGCCATAACTCCAGTCTCTACTGCTGTTACAAAATATTTACCCTGTATGTTGTTTATGGCTAATTTTAATTTTTTTCAGTTACTAAAAAACTATTATAAATGGAGAGCAGAGTGTCCAGAAATAAGTGCGGATCTGCACCCCAGAAGTATTCTTGGCCTTCTGAACGCTGGCTACCATGGAGTTCTGAGATCAAGGGACCTCACAGGCAGTAAAGTTCTTATTTATCGAATTGGTGAGTCATACACAGCTCTTCTTCTTCCCCCATCTCTTCCTCTTCCTCTTTCCTTTGCCTCTTTCCTTCTATTTTTATTTTCTTGGCTGCCATATAGAAAGCTTCAATGGGGCTATTGTTGAGAATTCATGTTTTAAGTCTTTAGGATTAACTTAGGTTTAATTTTGTTTATAACAGTCCTCAGCTATAACACATTTTTAGTAGTTGTGAGAATTTGAACAGAAACATGTGACAATCCTACTTCCATTTCCCACACAGTCAACTTTATAAAAGAAGTGAAGAATAAGAAGAGATATGGTGAGCAAAAGTAAAAAAATGAGCAAGATGAAGTGTTTTAAAAATGTGTAGAAAGAATATTAAAAAAAATCAATTCTGAATGACTAATAATACCAAGTCCAGGAAATCACAGAATCTTGTCTGTTATACTAAGGTATCTGGAGCACTGAGAAGAGAGTATAGTATGTGAAACGTTCCCATGAAACATTTATGGGATGAGTGTGTAAATAGTGACAGCTAGAGCAGTGAATAACTTACACCCTAGAAAGTGTTGCAGACATTGTGTCCCATTAGCTCCTCATTCTTTTCACTGTTTTTCCTTTTTTTTTTTGGTCATGAGGCTTGAACTCAGGGCCTGGTCACTGTCCCTGGGTTTTTTTTTTTTTGTTCAAGGCTAGGGTTCTGTTCTGGATTTCTGGTGATTAACTGGAGATGAGAGTCTCAGGATTTTCCTGCCTGGGCTGGCTTTGAACAGCAACCCTCAAATCTCATTTTCCTAAGTAGCTAGGACTACAAGCATGAGCCACCAGCACCTGGCTCACTTTTCCCTTTTATTCTGATGTGTTTTGGGTGTTTCCTATAGGTTGGCTTCTTCTCTGTTCAGGCTACGCTAATAAAACTATAAAAATAGAAATTCAGTTCCCATGGTTCTAGAGTGCTAATTTTTAGTGCACATAGGATATATATATATATATATATATATCATATATTAATATATATATACAAACACATTAATACATTTAAAAAACATCGTATTTATCTGAAATTCAACTTTAACCAGGTTTTATCAGTCAACTCTGCTTTCTTTTTATTTTCTTTTCCTTTTTATGTTTTGTTTTGATTTTAGAGGGAGGGTTCATAGTAGGACTTGAATACAGGACCTCACAATCTTTTTTTTTTTTTTTTTGCTATATTTATCCAATATTTATTATGGTTGGGAACAAACTGAAATAGAGTGTTCTGGTAGCATAAAAAATTCAACCAGAATGATCAAAGGCAACAAGAAGAAACATTGCCCTACATGATTATGTGCATTTGGTTCTTCACTTTACATTTTAAAACCTCAGAATTGCTAAATATGTACAAAGAAATTCAAAGCACAAAACTTGTTATCTTAGAACTTTTGATAGTATATAATATGCCCAATACACAATCTATTATTATTGCCATTATTATTATTGGTGGTGCTGGTGGTGAGAACCTCACACTCTTACTTGGCACATTAACTTAAGGCTGACTTTCTACCAGTTGAACCACAGGTCTCCTTACTTTTTTTTTTTTGTTGGCCGTGGGGCTTGAACTCTGGGCCTGGGTGCTGTCCCTCAGCTCTTCAGCTCAAGGCAAGTGCTCTACCACTTGAGCCACAGTGGTCTCCTTATTTTTGTCTTGTCTTCTTTCCCTTACTCCTGTGGTTTCTTTATGAACTACCTGAGACAAAACAAGAAATAAAAGCAGCACTATGAGGGCTGGGAAAGTAGCTTAGTGGTAGAGTGCTTACCTGCCTGGCATGCATAAAGCCATGAGTTCTATTTCTCAGTACTACTTAAACAGAAAAAACTGGAAGTAGCGCTGTGGCTCAAGTGGTAGAGTGTGAGCCTTGAGAAAAAAGAAGCTCAGAAACAGTGCCCAAGCCCTGAGTTGAAGCCCCAGGACCTGCAAGAAAGGGAGAAAGAGAGAAAGAGAGAGAGAAAAAAGAAACAACCTAAAACAAAAACCAGCAGATCATAAGAAAGCAATGTGTTATTTTGATCATAAATGCCTTAACCAAATAAATGAACTGATATACTGTGTAGCCTGGATCAATTACAGAATATTAGTTTTAAAAGTGTGTTAACTCAAAGAGATCTTAAAATCAAGAAAACATCTAGGTTTAATGAGGGTTAGAACAAAAAAGATATATGTTTGTGGTGTTATATTATTCTAGGATGAAAAGAAAAATACTTAGAAGAGTTTTTTTGAAAACAAAATAACAGAATAAAGAGTTGTAAGTTTTCTAATTCAATTGAATTAATGGAGTAGCTAAAGAAAGAAATCTGTGGAAGCTTTTCAGTAGTACCTTAGTGTGGGCACTTATCAGGTAGTGCAGACCATATCAACTCTGTGAAGTTAAGTAATAAAATGCACAGATTCTCCCCTCCCCTCCCTCCCGTGCTGGCAGGACAGGCAATTTAAAGTAGAACTGAGGCAGAACAGATCATAAAAAAGGAGGCATGAGACACAGCAGCCAAGAATGTAGGACAAACTACATTAAAGAGCTTGATATATTCCACACAAGGATTGCCAGGTGCTAGTGGCTCACTCCTGTAATCCTAGCTACTCAGGAGAACTAAGACCTGAGAACTGATGGGAGAAGCCAGTTCAGGCAGGAAAGTTCATGAGAATCTTATTTCTAATTATCCTCCTTGGTAGACCACTAGCCTTGAGCAAAAAAATTCAGGGACACAACCCAGGCCTTGAGTTCAAGCCCTAGGACCAGCACAAAAGATCCAAAATAAAACAGCAGAAGCACCATGTGTTGGAAATGAATTGTATAACTTGATGGGGGAAGAGGATGGGGTTGGGAGAGAAAAACCTGGGAGAAAGTGAGGGAGGGGGTGACATTGTTCAAACAGAAATGTACTCATTAACTGCAGCCCCTGTGTACATCACCTTTACAATAAACTTTTTTAAAAGCACCATGTTCCTTGCTTTAAACCTTGTACTCCTTTATGAATGGCAACATTTAGAAGAAGGAGTAGGAGGAAGAGGAAGAAGAGCAGCTCTCTCCCGCTGACCTTACCTGTATGTCCAAATAATAAATGTGCTCTGGGTACTAAGCAATCATATCCTAAAGAGTTAATTCTGGGGGAAAAACAAAAGTTGGGAAAATGAGTCCTCTAGGCACAGAAAGTGTTTGTAAAGAAAAATATTGGTCCCGTAGATGGACACCTGTTGTGAAGGAAGTATCTGGCCGAATGTATCCTTTAAAGAGATGCTCAGAAATCAATAAACCACGTGAAGTGATCAGGCCAATCTTGAAACCTCTTTTTTTTTTTTTTTTGTATTTTTTTAATTGTGAAAATACCATACAGAGGACTTATAATTACATGGGCAAGATAATGAGTACATTTCTTTTTTTAATTTTTTATTGTGTAAATACTGTACAGAGGGGTTACAATTACATGGGCAAGATAATGAGTACATTTCTTATCAAGCATTGTAGCCTCCTCCTTTGTTTCCCCTTCCCATCCTCCCCCCAGCCCCCAATCCTTCCCGCTGCCCCCCCCCCACCAAAGTTGTAAAGTTCGTTTTAGACATAACTACTTGTACTTCTCATTGTTGCAACAGGTCCACCTGTATCCTATTTAAACGACTTGTTTTTCCCCTTTCCCTCCACAAATTATACCGACATCAAATACAGTGAAAGCAGGGGTTATACTGTGGGGGAGGGACACACAAAGCAACAAAGAAGTAATCTTTTAAATGCGTTAATGAGTACATTTCTTATCAAGCATTGTTGCCTCCTCCTTTGTTTTCCCTTCCTATCCCTTCCCATACCCCCCCCCCCCCACATTCCTCCCGCTTCCCCTGTCAAAGTTGTAAATTTCATTTTTGGACATAATGAGTTGTACATCTCATTGTTGCAATGGGTCCACCTGTATCCCTAGTTAAATGATTTGTTTTTTCCCTTCCCCTCCACAAATTATACCAACATCAAATACAGTGAAAGCAGGGGTTATGGGGGGGGGGGGAGGGATATACAAAGCAACAAAGAAATCATTTTATAAATATGTTAGAAACAATAGCATGAAAGATGTAAAGTTCGTTTTCGACATAACAACTTGTACTTCTCATTGTTTCAACGGATCCACCTTTATCCTTATTTAAACTTTACAACTTTGGTGGGGGGGGCCGGGGAGGATTGGGTGGGGGGCAGGGGAGGATGGGAAGGGATGGGAAGGGGAAACAAAGGAGGAAGCTACAATGCTTGATAAGAAATGTACTCATTACCTTGCCCATGTAATTGTAACCCCTCTGTACAGTATTTTCACAATAAAAAATAAATAAAAATATAAATAAATAAATAAAAATAGCATGAAAGAAAAAACATTTGAATAATTATCTTGGGGTTCATTTCACCTAGCATCAACTTATCTGACCTTTTCTGCTTGTCTCAGACATATACTAGTTATTGCAAATAAGGGAAACCATGGGACCTATGTTTCTTTGGGCCTGGCTTGCCTCACTTAATATATATTTTTTCCAAGTCTTTCCATTTCCTAACAAATGCAGCAATGTCATTCTTTCTGATGGAGGCATAGAATTCCATTGTGTATAAATACCACATCTACTCCATTCATCTACTGAAGGGCATCTGGGTTGGTTCCTTATCTTAGCTATGGTAAATAATGCTGCAATAAACATAGTTGTGCTGTTAGCTTTAGTATGGTCTTGTTTGTGATCATTTGGGTAAATGCCCAAAAGTGGAATTGCTGGGTCATAGGGGCTCTATGTGGAGTCTTTTGAGGAACCTCCATTCTGCTTTCCAAAGTGGTTGAACAAGTTTACACTCCCACCAACAATGCAGTAAGGTTCCCTTCTGTCCACATCCCTTCCAGCAAAGTTCACACCGAACTCTCTATGAAGCCATAGTAACCCTCATCCCAAAACCAGGCAGAGACTCATCAAAGAAAGAGAACAATAGACTCATTTCTTTGATGAATATCGATGCAAAAGTTCTCAACAAAATTTTGGCCAATCGACTTCAACAATTCATCCCAAAAGTCATACACCACAATCAAACAGGATTCATTTCAGGGATGCAAAGCTGGTTCAATATACGCAAATCAATTTATATAATTCATCACATCAAGAAGAGCAAGGATTGAGATAACATTATCTCAATAGATGCAGATGGTTATCTCAATAGATGCAGAAAAAGCATTTGACAAGATCCAACACCCCTTTATGATGAAGGTTCTGGAAAAATTAGGAATTCATGGAACATTCCTCAATACAATAAAGGCTGTATATGACAAACCTACAGCAAGCATCATACTTAATGCTGAAAAACTGAAGCCATTTCCTCCTAACTCTTGAAACCTCAATTGATTAGACAATGTAACAGCAAAAGTAACAGAATGTACCAGGTGTTAGAACAGAAAGGAGCACTTATACTAATGTGAATTTGAGCCAACCCTCCCCGCAACCTACTTTTCCACCATAAATCCTCATGATGGTAATACATTCCTTGCACCTGTTGTCAGATGTGCCTATACCCAGGTCTGGGTTGTGTACTTGGTCTGTCTTTGCTAATAAACTTGGCCTCCGCTCTTTTCTTTCTCTTTCTTGTGACAAGTCACAACCCAGGGTAAGACAGACCCTCCTTACTCCCACAACATTCTTCATCTTCCTCCGAGTCACCTCTGTCTCCGCTTTGGCATTCCAGACAAACTTCAGTTAGCCATCTCATGGTCCATACTAACTCACAATCCCTCCTCTGTCTGTCTTGGCCTGATTTAATTCCCATCTCTACTGAAAAGACTGAGGTAATCTCCAGAGACCTTTCCATCTAATCAGATGAATCACCTGAGTTCTACTTTACTTTCCCTTTCAACACAGAGAGCCATTTCCTCTGTTTTGAAGTATCCTCTTCTGAAGCTCTGAATCCTTATAATTCGGTATAGTCTGCTCTTCTGCATCTGGTTTGCAGTTTTACTCACCCTTTATATTCTGAAATTCATTGCGAAAGTGTCATATTTTATCTTCATGTTAAACAGGGTATTCATCTCTATCTTTTTTTAAAATCTCACTTTTTTGGGTGTTTTTATGGTTTGAACTCTAGGCTTTGTGTTTGCTAGGTAATTGCTCTACCAGTTGAGCCACACCTTCAGACTTTAATTTTTCAGCTATGTTCTTGTACTTTTCCAGGCCTGGCCATCTCAGGGATGCTGGGCAAATGGTGGGAGGTGTGGTCAGGGTGTGTACAGCTGCCTGGGTGCTTCTGTAGCTCTCCCTTTCCTGTTCAGGCCTGTATGGACAGATTACCTGTCCCTGAGAGCTGTGGGAGGACAAACCTGTCTACTTGCTCTTTCTAGATTTTCCTTAGAAAATCTTTGGTTGTGCTGATAGTTGCTGAAAGTACCTGAGACAAAGCTTAAAGGAAGAAAGGTTTATTTCAGCTCATGGTTTAGAAGGTTTCAGTCTATGGCTACCAATGTACAGTGGAGGAAAGCTGTTTATGGCAGCCAGGTGAGGGAGCTTAAGAGTGAGAGGAAGTAGCCGGGGACAAAATGTGCCCTTTAAGGGCATGTTTCCTGACCTGCTTCAACTAAGCCTGGTCTCCATTCTCATGAGCCCATTAAGCTATGAATTCATCAATGGATTAATCCTTTGTTGAAATCAGAGCTCTCATGACTCAATCACCTCCCAAAAGCCCCACACAGGAATCCTGCTACATTGGGAGCCAAGCCTTTAACACCTGAGTTGGGTAGGTTTCACATCCAAACCCCAGCACTTACCAAGGTGCTAGCACTACTGCACATAGCCCAAGCACAAGGTTGAAGCATAGCCAAAGCATAGCCAGTATCTAGGCACATCCTTCTCCTGCATGGGAAGGTGGGATTTACTTGCTCATCAAATACAGCCTGTATTCATTGTTCCCTCCCATGTTCTCTGCGTTGGAAAGTTATTCTCTGGTCTAGGCAATCTATTACTCAATTCACGATCATTTGTACATGCTTTTGTTTTTATTGATCCTTTCAGTCTTAAAAGAATTAATTCCCCCAAAGAACCTTTCTGAGTCTTTACACAAACTGATATATGATCTGTGTTTTTTCTTCTCTGTGTGTGTTTTTTAAAGCCTGCTGGGACCCAAAAGTTTTTACAGCTTATGATGTATTTCGTGTAAGTCTAATCACATCGGAGCTTATTGTTCAGGAGCCAGAAACTCAGCGGAATGGAGTCAAGGTTATATTTGATCTGGAAGGCTGGCAGATTTCTCATGCTTTACAAATTGCCCCATCTGTAGCCAAGAAGATTGCTGCTGTACTTACAGTAAGTTTATATTTTAAATTGTTAGCTATAAAACTTTCAAAAATAGCTTTTAAGTGTGTTAGTCATTAGCAATGCAAAGAAGAAATGTAAATAATGTCAGAAATGATGCATATAATTTAATGCTGCTAACAGGAGACATAATTAATTGATTAGAAAATGTAAAAAACTGCAGCCTGATGTGGTGGATCACACCTGTAATCTTAGCTACTCAGGAAGTAGAGATCAGAAGGATCTTAGATTGAGATCAGCCCAGATGAAAAAGTTCCTGAGACCCCCCCATCTCAACCAACAGAATGCTACATCTGGTGTATACCTGTCATCCTAGCTAGGCAGGAAGTGTCAATAGGAGGATCGAGGGCTAGAGTTGCATTGGCAAAAAGTGAGACCCTACTAGAAAAATAACTAATGCAAAATGTGACACACACACACACACACACACACACACACACACACACACACACACACACACACACAATGGAATTCTATGCCTCCATCAGAAAGAATGACATTGCCGCATTTTTTAGGAAATGAAAAGACTTGGAAAAAATTATATTAAGTGAAGTAAGCCAGGCCCAAAGAAACATAGGTCCCATGGTTTCCCTTATTTGCAATAACTAGTATATGTCTGGGATAAGCAGAAAAGGTCAAAAGCTATGTACATATGACCAGATAAGATGAAGTTAAGCGAAATGAACCCCAAGATAGGGACACATGTGTTTTTTTTCTTTCTTGCTATTGTTTCTAACGTATTTATAATGTACCATGTGATTTTTTTTTGTTGCTTTGTATGTTCCTTCCCCATGGTATAACCCCTGTTTTCACTGTATTTGATGTCAGTATAATTTGAGGAGTGGAAGGGAAAAACAAAATGTTTAAATAGGGATACAGGTTGATCCATTGTAACAATGAGATGCACAAGTCATTATGTTGAAAAATGAACTTTACAATATAGGCGGGGAGGGGGGAGGGTGGGAGTGTAGTTATGGAGGTGGGAGAGAAGGGAGGGTAGGGGAAAAACAAAGGAGGAGGTAACAATGCTTGGTAGGAAATGTACTCATTACCTTGGTCATGTAACTGGAACCTTCTGTACAGTATTTTTACAATAAAAAACATATTAAAGTAAAGAGTTGGGAGTCTGGCTTAAATGGTAAAGTGCTTGCTTAGCAAGGTCAAGGTCTGAGTTCAACCCCCACAGTACCTCACCTGAAAAGGAACAAGCTACAAAAATAATGCCCAACTTTAGTTAACTACAAAGACCATACATTACAATAGCAATGTGATTTTTATTTTCTTGTCATGAAATTTTCTTCCTAATTAAAAAATTACTAAAAATTATGATAGCAATACAGTAAGTTTTGGTCGGTATCAATTGATATAGTTTTAATAGCTATTATCTTTATTATAGTAATTCTTCCTGGGAACCTAGCTAAAGAATAACCTTAAACACAGTAAGGGTTTTGTAAATAAGAGTAATGATAATGATAATAGATTACTATGTTCCATGTACTTTGCTAAGTGTATCAAATGCATTTCTATCCAAAAGGTACCCCATGCCTGTGATAGATGGCTATTATTGTCCACATTTTGTAAATTAATAAAGGATGGTAGTGTGGTGACATGGTAGCACCTAGGCACATGAAATCATCTGAATGTATGAGTCATGTTATAAACATCACTTCTCCTACACATAAAGACAGTTGTTTCAGCCTAGCTTTTTTTCCTCTTTTTCTTTTATTTTTGTATGTCAGTCCTGGGGCTTGAACACAAGGCCTGGATGCTGTCCTTGAGCTTTTTTTCTCTCAAGCTAACACTACTACTTGAGCTATAGCTCCACTTCTGCTTTTTTTTGGTGGTTAAATGTAGATAAGAGTTTCACAGACTTTCCTGCATGGACTGGCTTCCAACTGCAAGAGTAGTTAGGATTATAGAATAAGACACTGGAGCCAGGCTCTGCATCATATAATTTTTTGTATGTGTGTCTGTGTTGATTCTGAGGCTTGAACTCAGGGCTTTATACTCTCTCTCAGCTTTCTTGCTCATAGCTAGAACTATACCACTTGAGCCATGCATCCGGACTGGCTTTTTACTGGTTACTTGTAGACATGTGTTATAGACTTTTCTGCTGACTTTGAATTTGATTCCTCCAGCTCTCAACTTTCTGATTAGCTAGGATTAGCTGGGAGTAAGCACTAGCACCTAGCTGATAAGATTTTTTTCTATTCAGTATTAACATTTACAACTTTCTTTCATTTTTTATTTTTTTTTGGGTCCGGTCGTGGGGCCTGAACTCTGGGCCTGGGTGCTGTCCCTCAGCTCTTCAGCTCAAGGCTAGCGCTCTACCACTTGAGCCACAGCGCCACTTCCGGCTTTTTTCTTTTTGCTTATGTGGTGCTGGGAATCGAACCCAGGGCCTCAGGCATGCAAGGCAAGCGCTCTACCACTGAGCCACCTTCCCAGCCCCCATTTACAACTTTCTAAAGGACAGAAGGCATGGCTCAGTGGTACAGTATCTGCCTAAAACTTTCTAAGGTCTGAATTTCTTTGATGCAAAGGACATATACCAATAGAATGGGGTGAGACTCAAGTAGTAGAGTGCTAGGACTAAGTTAAATCCCTGGAACAAACAACCAAAAAGGATGTCAATGTCAAAAGTATGTGTATATGTATGGTGGTATTTTTAAAACTTTAGAATGTTTGATTTTTCAAACAAAAAAGTAAAATAGTAAATGTTCAAAGTCAACATAGGTTCCTTACATGTAACTATTTATGGGCGGGAACAGATTTTTATGGTGAATGTATGTGCTTAGTCTAAACTGCAAGAAAAACTAAGAAATCTTTTTTTATACTAGTAACGGTAAACTGTAAGCCAGGCTTTTGTGTTGGTGGAATAATTATTTAAAAAGTCACAGTTAGGTGTTGCTGTAGCTTTAGAAATTATTCAAAAAAGAAAGTTGTTTTAAGAAATGTAATTGCAATATTTGTTTTCTTATTAAAATGTTTTTTACTTTATTTTCAAAAGGATTCCTTTCCACTGAAAGTTCGTGGCATACATTTTATAAATGAGCCAGTAATTTTTCATGCTGTCTTTTCCATGATTAAACCATTTCTGACCGAAAAAATTAAGGAACGGGTGAGTAAAACATATTCAAGTCATTGATTCTGCAGATTGAACATTGCAAGCTTTTATCATTTAAGGATTTTTTTGATTATCTTCCCCATGAACATCAACCTGTAGCATTGGCCTACTATTCTGAATCTTTAATATGCCAGCTACTCGTATAAATTAAGATTTAGTTGTAATTTTAAACAAGCATGTTGGTTAGAAGGCAATGGGAATCTAGACCTCTCATGTATTAACTGGCTGGAGTGCAAATCCAAATGTCACCTCTAGAGGACAGTGTGGCAATAGATACCGAAATCTGTACATTGCAGACATTATCTGACAGTTTTACGTGTACACAAAGTTACATATACAGAATGTTTATTGCTGGCACTGATTGGAAACTATCAAGTACTCACCATTAAGAGGACACTTAAGTAAACTATGGTTCATCTACGCACCACACACTAGAATACAAGATTTCAGGCTGTACGCAAAATAAAATACACAACATGCAGGCTAGGGTTGATTGTATGCAACCTTTTCTACCAAAAGGGGAGAACCAGAATATATAATTATAGTTTCATAGCAATTACATTAAACGATATTCAGGAAGATACCTACAGTGAACAGAGTGCAGGTAGATTAAGATGGGTAGACTAGAGTTAGTAGCAAGTTTTCTCCCTGTGAATTTTTTAAATCCTGATTTGACTTCTAATTAGATAAAATACAGATTAAAATACACATTTTTCCTAATGAAATGTGTAGCTGAAATGCCTAGGCTCAAGTGGTCCTCCCAGCTCAGTCTCCCAAGTAACTGGTAGTACAGGCATGCACCACTGTGGCTTTTGCTATTAACATCACAAAATTAATTACATATATAATAACATGATTATAACTGGACATTTAGAATTTTATAAACTATATTCTTTTTTTTTTTTTTGGTTGGTCGTGGGGCTTGAACTCTGGGCCTGGGCTGTCCCTCAGTTCTTTAGCTCAAGACTAGCACTCTACCACTTGAGCTACAGTGCCACTTCCAGCGTTTTCTGCTTATGTGGTGCTAAGTAATCGACTCCAGGGTTTCCTGCATGCAACGCAAGCACTCTACCTCCGATCCACCTTCCAAGCCCATAAACTATATTCTTTTATCTTAAGAAAATGTATCTTGTATGGTCAGAAAATTAACATCCTAGAGCTTCTTTATCTGTTATTCTGTGCTGTTTCTTTTTTTCTTTTTTTTGGTCAGTCATGGGGCTTGAACTCTGGGCCTGGGCGCTGTCCCTCAGCTCTTCAGCTCAAGGCAAGCGCTCTACCACTTGAGCTACAGCGCCACTCCGGTTTTCTGGTGGTTTATTGGAGATAGGAGTCTCACAGTCTCTCCTGCCCGGGCTGGCTTTGAACCGCGATCCTCAGATCTCAGCCTCCTGAGTAGCTAGGATTACAGGCGTGAGCCACCAGCGCCCGGCTATTCTGTGCTGTTTCTATCTGAAGAAGAATCTAAATTATCTACTTTTGTGAATCTGGAAATTTTTGGTCACTTTTCATTCTAGCTTTTTAATTTTTTATAAAGTCACAGTTTTGGATTCTTTCTTCCCCCATCTTCAGTGTGGCTAGAAAATAGTTGACCACACTGTTTTCACTCTTTCTTTTGTGCAACTGCAAACAAGTAGCAGGCTTGGGTTTAAGTCTTTTCTTGTTTTTTGTCAGTTGTGGGGCCTGAACTCTGGGCTTGGGCGCTGTCCCTCAGCTCTTCAGCTTAAGGCTAACAATCTACCCCTTGAGGCACAGTGCTACTTCCTGCTTTGTCTGCTTATGTGGTGCTGAGGAATCGAACCCAAGGCCTCAGGCATGCAAAGCAAGCACTCTACCACTGAGCTACCTTCCCATCCCCTGGGTTTAAGTCTTATAAACAAAAATGTGCCACGGTATAACCCCTGTTTTCACTGTATTTGATGGTGGTATAATTTGTGGAGGGGAAGGGAAGAAACAAATTGTTTAAATAGGGATACAGGTGGATTCACTCCAACAATGAGATGTATGTCGAAAAACAAACTTTACAACTTTGGCGGATGGGGGGGGGGGGGGGCAGGGGAAGGGATGGGGGATGGGAAGGGATGGGAAGGAGGAGGCAACAATGCTTGGTAAGAAATGTACTCAATACCTTGCCCATGTAATTGTAACCCCTCTGTATGGTATATTCACAATAAAAAAATATGCATTGTTATTTTGAGTGATATTCTAGAATAAAAAAATAAAAACCCAAGAATGTATTGAACTTAATCGAAAAAGATAATATGGAGAGAGAAATTTCAAAATTGAGAACTTAAGTGAGATACTTCAGTGAAACTTAATTGACATAAAACAGATTTGCCAAAAAAAAAAAAAAAAAGGAGATAACTGAATCTAGCCTTTCTTTTTTTCCTTTTCAGCATTCTGGAAACATTATAAAAGTGTTCATGTTTCCTCTTTCCTGAGAAAATGATTTAGGATTAATGTCTTGATACTTCAGAAAAATTCCAAACTTGTCATTATGAGCTTCCTAGGTAGAAGAGGCTTATTTCCTTCAGCAGCCCTCACATCCCAGTACATCCCAGGGCCTTATTAAGTTGTTCTTCAGTGCACAGATGAGCATTTTCTCCTAGCAATGAAAAAGTTTACTTATTTATTGGTTTTAGTGAGGTTTGCTTTTGGTTCCTATGGCTTTATTTTTAGGAAAGTGTATAGCCAAGTTTTAAAGCTTATAGTACGTAAATATTTAAGGTTCTCTAACATACTTTCCTGATACACAGGCCAAGAGAATCCATTGGTTATACCACATAAATCATTAGGGGCTTAAATGTGTGCTTCTACTTACTTTAAATTAATACCAGTTAGTATATTTTAGTGTCTTGTGCAGTTTTAAGAATGCCAAGCTAAAGCTAGGCACCGGTGGCTAATTTCTATAATCCTAGCTGAGAGGCTGAGTTCTGAGGATCATGGTTCAAAACAAGTTGGGTCAGAAAAGTCGGTGAGACTCTTATCTCCAATAAACTAGCAAAAAGCTGGAAGTAGAGCTGTGGTGCAAGAGACAGAGTGCCAGCCTTGAGGGAAAAAGCTAAAAGACAGTGCCCAGGCTCTGAGTTCAAGCCCTCACAGGAGCACAGCAACAACAATAAAATGTCAATGTAAGGGACTCATGAAATTCTATGACTCCCATCAGCACAATGTTACCATAAGCAGAAATCTTAGATTCATAGCTGAACAAGACAAGTAATCAAATACCTTTCTAACCTGGAAGTTAGCATATCCTGTTTAATGGGGTCCATTGGTTTCCCCACCAGAAATGATGAAAGGCAATTGGGGGAGCATATCTTCTAAAACATTTTGATTATTTCAGATTCATATGCATGGGAACAATTACAAGCAAAGTTTACTTCAGCATTTCCCCAAAATTCTTCCTCTCGAATATGGTGGTGAGGAATTCTCCATGGAGGACATTTGTCAGGAGTGGACAAATTTTATCATGAAGTCCGAAGAATATCTCAGCAGCATTTCTGAGACCATTTAGAGAGAAGTTCTTTCCTGTGAATGAATGTCCAAACTGAAAATTCACGAGTGAGATTCAATCTGGTCTCATAAATGAAAGAACAATCCTCTAAACTAATTCATGTTTGTCTGATCTTTAACAAAGTAAAGAAGAAATCTCTTGCATAAGCCATATGGGTATTTGGGAAAACATTTTACTTTTTAAATATATATTTTTCTGCTTTTGAAGTAATTGAATGCTAGTGTACCTTAAAAGCATAAAAGAGATGGTGGATCTTCAAACTTGGAGAAGTAACTTAATTATTTCTAAAGGCTGTTATATGTATCTTTATGTATTGTTGAATATCTTTTTGTAAGTTTCTGTTTTTGTATGTATGTTTTTGAAAGTTTAATTTTAAACAAGTTTTCTGATTTCATTATTTAGTAATTAATTTGTAAATCAGTCCACTGAAAAGACATGCCCACATTAGCAACTCATGATAGAAGAATTATTAACACTCATTTGGGGTGGGTATTTTAATTCAGATTGAAATCTAAATAAAGTTTTACAGTTTTTTCTTTGGACCAGCAAGATAATTCATCTCAGGGAAATTCTTGTAGCACATTTGCACAATAAACCTATTTGATCAAAGAGCACATATGCTATAGTACTATAAACAGCATCTGAATGTCTTTATGAAATTTGTCATGCTAATATAATTGATTAAAACTTAAGAAAATATTTCAGGCACAGTTGATGGCTTCTCAATACTGTTTTACATTTTTCAAACAAATCAAGAATGCAATTTCTTTTTGTGGTTATTATAATTATCAGGCTTGTATAGACATTTAGAGAAAGAATAATATTTATTTATCTTATAAATGGAGTATTTTTAGTTGAAGGATTAATAGAACTACATAAAGGAAAGGACATACTTCCATTTTCTAAATCATTACCAATTACGTCTGGTATTTTTCAGAGTATTCATAAAATAATTTAGGTTTTTAATTAGAATATTCAAACTGACCTTTGCAATCTTATTTACTTAAAAAATTATTAATTGGGATGCGTTCTTTCTACCATAGTTTTTGTTAAAAAGTACTTCGTTTACCAAGAAAAACATAATCTCATACTAAACAGGGACTTCAGTTTATGCCCTACATTTTATACTTAACATGACATTCATAATGAACTTTATTTAAAACTTGACAACAGAGTGCATGATGTACAAAATTTGTTGAACATTTGTTCAGCTGATTGGGTTTCAGCACTAATAACAATGGTATCCTGGTGAAAGGATATTTTTCTTTATAAGACAATCAGTCTAATCAGGTGAGCTAGCATGTGATTCTCTGTACATAAAGTATATCTAGCATCAAATTGAGAGGAATGGTAAGTGTTCTTTAGGCAATGTGTATGATTTTAATTTAGTTTTGGGAAGCTAAGTTTATAATTTTTAACAGATAATGTCACTTTCTCAAAAATACTGAAATCTTTATAAAATCATATAATTTCAAATTTTATAAAAATAATGAGATGGTAGGGGAAAAAACAAAGGAGGAGGCAACAATGCTGGATAAGAAATGTACTCATTACCTTGTTCATGTAACTGTAACCCCTTTGTACAATATTTTCAAAATAAAAAAGTTAATTAAAAAAATGGAAAAAACATGAAAAAATGAGAAGCCCCAACAGAACACCTATGGCTTATTCCTCAAAGGAGATTTTTGTCAGTTTCCACTTCATTTAAAATACCTTCTTAAGCTGTGACCCTAACTACTTAGGTGGCTGAGATCTGAGGATCTCGGTTTGAAGCCATTTGGGCAGAAAAGTCTGTGAGACTCTTATCTCCAATTAGCCATTTGTGAAACTCTTACCTCCAATTAACCACCAAAAAGTCAGAAGTGGAGCTGTTCCTAAAGTGACACAGTGCTAGTCTTGAGTGAAAAAGCTAAGGGACAGGGGCCAGGTCTTGAGTTCAAACTCCATTACTGCAGCACACACACATACACACACACACACACACACACACACACACACACACACACACACACACACACAACAAAGAATCCTTACATTCTTATGACCTTCTGAAGGATTTCTTCGCTATAATAAAAAATAGCACTTTGAGTTCAAACTCCATTACTGCAGCACACACACATATACACACATACACACACACACACACACACACACACACAACAAAGAATCCTTACATTCTTATGACCTTCTGAAGGATTTCTTAGCTATAATAAAAAAATAGCACTTAAAATATCTCTCAAGGGTAATTCATTAGTGATGTAATTAGCAGTAATTAGAGCATGTTTAATAAATATAAGCACATTTTATGATGGGTATTTAAAATTTGTAGACAATAAAGCAATTCTTTAAACAATGTGAAATGTCAAGGCAATTTTATAAGATGTCAAGGTGAATAACTGTCTAATTGTCTATGTTAACTATACTGTGACTGAACCTGAGTGCCTTTGAACATGTTAACTCTATCTGTGCTTTCTGTGTTGTTGTACAGTAATTTATATGTATTAATATTGTTAAGAAAACAAAACCTCTTTCATTTAAAAATATGCATGAAGCATTCCCCCACCCCAAATCTGGTTTTCTTTTCAGAAAGTTTAAGAGAAATATACTACCTCTAGTTGTTCATTACACAAATGTCAGTATTTTCTTTGTTAGTTTTAATTATAGGCCGGGATTCCCTACTGTTGAGTCTTCCTCTAGTGCCTTTTGCTGTAAATAAGATGCAAGTTCTCTGACACTGAGGCATATCCCAAACCTTAAATTGTCTTTGTACCCTGTGTTCAACTTTACTGTGAATCTGAAACTTCTCTAAAAAATAAAGTCTATTAAAAGTTAAATTATTTAATGAAGTAACACCTTGTGGAGATTTTTATTTTATTTTATTATCTTTAAGTAGTTTCACAAAGGAATTTCTATTTAACAAAGCAATGTGTCTTGCTCAATGTCATCCCTTTCAATTCTCACCTGTCCCTCTTAGCCTACCCCTTCCCTAGCTTTTCTTAGAACTTTGTAGGACATACATTCAATTGTTGACTGCATTCTTCACCTACCCTTCCACTGTTCATTTATTTACCCCTCTCCCCTTGGCCCCTTGACTCCCCCCTTCTCACTCCTTTCAAGTATCAGTTTCCTGGTTTTTATTGTGTTGAACTTTGACTTTGCCTATGGAATTACATACATTACTTCCTTTTTCTTTTTTTAATTTACTTTTTGCTTAGAGTTTCAACTTTTTCAGTATGCATGTTTTTACTTCACGGAACTAGTTTATGGCCATTTTCATGTAGATAAGTGAAGACATGGACTCAATTCACAGGATTGCAAAATAGAAACAAAAAGCTAATTGCCACTCATCTAAATTACAACAGTAGATTAAAAAAAAAATCCAGGTTACACATACAAGCAAACAATTCAGCCAACTAGTAAGATGCTGTTGTTCAAAATACACCCTACTGACTTTTGTCATACTTGGATAGACTCGTCTGGCCTGTGGGCCATATAATAAGGCCAATGAAATCATCTGGTACAGGACAGGACAGGACATGCATGGGCCCTGGCCCATGGCCAGTGAATGTTATTAATATCCAAATGGCCCATGACAGGAAAACTATACCTGGACATCCATAAGAACTAACAGTTACAAAGGTGGAACTAGTAATAAGGGTAATAGAAGGAAGACTGGCAATACTATCTTCTCCCAACTTCCTGATTAGCAAAAGTAATGAGTACATTTCCTATTGAGCATTGTTGCCTCCTCCTTTGTATTTCCCCTACAATCCCTTGCCTCCCACCTGCACAACTACCAGCCAATGTTTTACATAAGGACCAGAGCAGGGTTTTACTGTATATGTAACTCAACTACCTTCAAAAACTATTTAAATTCCTCTCTCTAGCAGTAAGTGCTGGTGATTTCTTTTCAGGGGTATCTTCATGTCTAGCAGTGAAAGGAAAAGTATAGTAATGAAAGGAAAAGCAGAGTCATGTTTTGCTGTCACCTGTGCCTTTTCAGGAGATGTAGTTACCAGAGCAATGTCAAGACCAGTGATGGATACTGAAGAGAACAGAAGAATGTAAACAGTTTAAAGGGACCGTTGAGCCACAGATAAGGCAAGGACTAAGCCTGTAGAATGTCCTAGGCAATATCAATGGGCTCCTTTTCCCCAAAACAATATCCATGTCTTTTGAGGACTAGTCAAGTGAACTGAGGCAATCCTTTGCATGCAAGGTCAAGAAAAAGGTGTAGCTGTAAGAAAAATAATTTTATTGGGACTTTTCCATGTATAAAACTGTAGTGTTCCCAGGTGGCAACACCCTATGATGCATTTTCTGTGGGGAAAATGAGAGTTTAAAATAGTGCCAACAAAGCTGACCAAGCAAATGGTCAGCCAGATAATCAAAGTCTGAAGAATTGCAAGAGAAAAAAAAATGCATGAATTTTTACAAGCAGAATTTCCTAACATTGTAGAAATTAAAAACAACTAACTTGGAAGCTGTGGAATTTTTAAGCATGAGAAGAGGAAACTGGGAAAAGATGGCTGATTATAAACCACAATTTTGTAGAAAGATTTTAAGACTGACTAATCAGTTCAACAAAAGCTGTCTAAAGTTTAGGGGCCTTGAGTATAGATAAATAAAGGCAGCACAAGAAAAAGCCAATGTTAAGGAGATCAAAAAGGGAAAGTAGGCACATGTTAACAATATGTGGATACTTATAGGTGTTAGGAGAAAATAAGAAGGAAGATAATGAAAACTACACGAATGGAGAATATGTATTAAGTACAGGGCCCATAGATTTTATTCTTCTGTCTTAGGTAGAAGCTGAGTACTTCATGGCATCATTTGCTTGATCTGTTGAAAGCAGTTTACTTGTGCTTGTCATCTGCTGCTGAAGACTCTTGAACAACCTTCAGCTTAAGGATTCCTTTTGGGATGGATTTTTATTTAAAGCAAAGCTTGGCTTTCTCACTTGTGAAATGGGAACACAACATTGTACTCTTTTTAGTTTTCAAATAACTTTGATGAGGAAGAGGGCAGCTGTATTTTGAGTAAGAACTTGTAGTGTATATCCATCCCTTCCATTTATAAAAAGGATAATGAGTGATTGGGGAGTCTAAGATCAAAAGAAGCAGATAGAGAGCACTGAGGTTTTTGGATTACAAACATCAGAAGACTCAATTAAAGGGTTTGGATCAATCTCCTTAGTCATTGTTACAAGAGGAAAACAAATGGCAGAAAAATTAAAGAGCCTATATTGTCAATATCCAGCTAAATAACTTTAGTGTTATCCTTTCACATTAAAGAGGAGAAAGTGATAATAATCATTTAGGAAAGGAAGTATTTCCTTCAAGGAAGATTTGTTCTAGCTACTCAGGGGCTGTCAATGGTATTTTGTCTGTAGATACATTATGTCCCACTGAGCAAGATTTTGGAGTTAAGATTGAGTATTGACAGCACTGAGATGAGGTCATCTACCTACTGAATTAAGGTAACATTTCAGCTCAGAAACTCAGGGTGACTAATAGACTAGAGTTCCTCAGAAGAGTCAAGCCTGAGTCAGGAGTGGACATGATAAAAGGAAGACTGGGAAGAACGACAGAACACAATGTAGGCTATACCTGACCATTTCCCATTCCAGTTCCCGACACCTCAGGGTGTGATACTCTGAGAAAGAGAGAGATGTGTTGCATGGAAAGTTCTGCTGTGCAAACCTACCACCAAAAGAGTTCTACACACAGTGGCAGGGTTTATTTATGGAAGAGGAGGCTGTGCAGGAGAAGTACATCACAATAACATTTGGCCTATTTTACAGTGATTCTATACAACTTTATAGAGACCAGCTTGTTTGTTCATGAAATTAACAGAGTTGAAATTTTCTGTGTGTGATAGTTTATGCTTCTAATCCCAGCTAATGGGAAGGCTGAGACAGGAGAGTAGAAAGTTTGAGGCCAAAATAAGCTACGACATTAGATTCTTTCTCAAAATGAATGAGTGGGCTCGGTGCTGGAGACTA